CCAGAGTTATGATATGTGAATTGGACCTAGGCCCAAAGCAAGCACAACAAGAAGGCTGGCCATCATTTGTCTTTAAAATGGAAAGGAAAGAAACAAAAAAAAAAGGAAAGAAATATCTGATAATGTATAATCTATATCTACAATAATTATAAAATTATGGATGTTGATTTTTTATTGACAAAATTGGTCACATTTATTAATCATATTCTTTAAATTATCATTTTAATTATTTTTATCATTAATATTTATAAAATTTATCTAATTAATTTATAAATATGTAAATATCAATGGCTTTCATTCTAAATATTGGTAGAATCACTTTCGAGAAGCAATCGTGAGAAGTCATCTAATTTGAGGAAATAAAAATAATAAAAACTTTTCTAATAATCAATAATTTAATTATATTCGAGTCACAACTGTCAATTGATTTCAAGAACATAACCTTAAGTAATGGTTAAGCATTCGTTCTCACTAAATGCCGATTCTTGTTCTTCATAGGGATCACTGCAGCTTCTGGGCGCTGAGTTAAGTTTGTAATCAAGTCCTTGTTTCATGGTCATCTAGCTTTGATAAACCAAGCAGAAAAAAGTTTGATAACATCAAACACCTGCTCATCAGCAACCCAGAATTTACCTTCGAAAACTATCTTGTTTAGCACCAATATCACAATGACAGCTTCCTTTGGTGCAAGTTGATTCGCTAACTGGTTCACCACAATAATGTCCAAATTTTCCAGGATTTGATACATGAGGAAAAAACATGGTTACTTCGATTTCCTTTTTGAACAGAATACAAACTGTCGAGTTACCATCTTAACATGTCTTTCTTTTATCAACTCTTCTTTCATCGTCACTTTTCCTCTTATCACTCACTAACAGAAGATCTCCACTTTACAAGGGTAATACCTTCCCAAATGGGTTTCCACTATTAAGTAACAGGACCCTGTCTCTCGAGAATTGACCTATAAAATGATTACCATTAAGAAAGCCTTTTCATACTAATCTATTTAAAAAATTTCTATCTAAAAACATATTGTTTAAAATACCCAACAACTGCTTCTATTGTAACACCTCTTAGTTGAATAATCTTCTTCTCAACTCAATTTTCCAACACCAAGGTAGCGTTTGGTATCAGGGATGTAAGCCACATTCCCTGCAATGTGGCTTATTAAATT